ACCTTTCCCTTGGACTTTCTCAGAGGTTAAGTTTCCGACACAACCTCTACCCCGCCGTCCCCTACTGGAGTCGGGCTAGACGTGCTCTGTTGTTGTTGATAAAAATCAAACTAAATTTTTTCCACTCTATGAGTTCAAAATTCATTCGATTCACAATGTAAAAGAATTAAAAACAACTTAGGAGATGAGACATTAAAAAAATATGTGAACGTTTGGAAGACGGAGGGTGTTGAAGAGCTCTAAAATAGGGGAAGGGAGCGACGGGATGGCAGGAATTGGGTCACGCGAATCACAGTCACCAAAAAAGGGGGGTGATGTTCCCCCGTCCCGCCTCCCCACACCCCTTGGCTCGAAAAGAGTTCCAATTGATGACAAGCCACGTGACAAAAACTGAGTGGTGATTCCGTTCATCTAAGGTCCACACCTAATTACTAGATCTTCTCACAAAAGTTGTTGTGCTTAGAAGCTAACGTTGAAAAGAGCCTGTTTCACCTAAGCTAATGTGTCGAATGCTAATTATATTCTTAATCCTAATATTAATCCTCTAATCCTAATTCTAATCATAATCTTAATTCTATTCCTAATCTTAGTTCTAATTCTAATTCTATTCTTAATCATAATCCTAATCCTAATTATAATACTAATACTAATAATAGTACTAAGAAGTCTACATCAACAATGTCCATATAATTGAAATGAATCTTATGATCATAGAAGAATTTGTGAAAATTGAGACCACTAATTATTTTTCATATAATGTGAATACTTTAACGAGGAAAAAGGACAAAGAGGAAAAATCATAAACGACTACCATAATTGAAGACTTGAAGACATGTCAAATTACTTGAAAATTAATAAAGAAGGAAAGTATTGGAAATGGGTGAATACTTTTATAGTCCTCAAACTTGTTCCAATTATATGATTAAGATAATGATTAAGATTAGAATTGAAATTAGGATTAAGATTATGATTAAGATCAGAATTGAAATTAGGATTAAGTTTAGGTTTAGAATTGAGATTAGAGTTAGAATTTGAATTAGGATTATGATTAGGATTATTAGGATTATAATTAATATTGGGATTATTAGGATTAAGATTAAGATTGGGGATTAGGATTAGCTTTAGGCACATTAGCTTGGATGAAACGAGTCTTTTTTCACATTAGTTTATAAGTCCAACAACTTTTTCTAGAAAGGTCTAGAAATTAGACGTGGATATTGGGTGCACAAAATCACCCTCCAATGAGAGGACAAAGACCAAATGAGACTTACCGATAAAACTAGAGCAAATCAATCCCTCCCCACTATACTAGTATACAGAAATCGAGATTTTACCATCAAGAAGAATCAAATTATAGATTCTATCACTTTATAACTAGAAAAAGCATACAAGTTTTTAAAAAAGAGAGTAAATACAAGAATTAAATCTTGTACTAATCTCCAATGCACAAAAAATGATAATTTATTCTTACTAGCCTTAAATCTACACAAAAAAAGAAAAAAAAAAAAGAAGTCATTATGTCTCAAATAGGGAGTATAAGAATAAGCATGACTTAAATAGTGTGATCTAAATTATTTAATACTCCGCATAAATATGAATCGTGTGATCTCATTTTAGTTATTGATAGGGCTGGTGAAATCAACATGCCCTGCATTGAGAAGAACCCTAATTCTCACGATACATACCATATACTCCCTACTTCAAATTCAACCACTCTCTCACAACTGATCGTCTTGATTTCCGGCTTCCCCCTTTAGTTCCGTCGCGGTGGTTTCAGATCTTCTCCGACAGCTTTTCCGGTAATCCCCTCTTGAATGGCAAATTCTTGAAGTCATATTTGATGATCTCTTTTCCGGTAGATCATGATCTCCTTTTGCGATTTTCTATCTTCTTGCGTCGGACTCATCCGATCCCATATTTTTTTCCCCTTTACGATTCAAGCAATTCTTGAATGCAAAGTTTCTATCTTGCTCAGATTTTCCGGGATTATGACCTGTCTGGGTAATGGCGTTTGATTGATTATCTTTAGGCTTTGTAAAAAAGTGGTATTTTTAATCCCTGTGAAGATCTTAGATCAAGAACCAAAGTTTGCTTCAATTTCTACTCTGTTTTGTCATAAATTCAATAATCTGATCCTTTCTCTTTATGAGTTTTACTGTTTCTGAAGGGTATTCTGCATGAAAGAGGACTCCGTAATTGATTACTCCTACTTGGACAGTATTCTGCCCTAATTTTCTTTAATTGCACTCTATATGACAAACCCTTTTTCTCTTTTCCTAATTTCTTGATAAGGGTTCGTCTTTTCTTTCACAAATTGATAGTTTCTATGTGATCGTGACAGAATAAACAGAGCAATGATGGAGTTTTATAACACGATTGACACGTCTGATGATTGTATGAGCCCAGGGAAATGGCCCTCCTCCACACACAAGCTGGTAAAGAAAAAAAAAGTTTGGATCTTTTTACAGTTTGAATGTTTGATGAACTACTGTAGTAATTAAACCCCATTTAATTTCAGTTTTCTTGGTTTATAATTTTGAATTTGATCATCAGTTGGATGGGAAAACTCCTGAGATGAAAAGAAATGAGTTGATTATGCTGCACGTTCTTCCTCTGCTCCCGGCGAAATCACTCATGAGGTTCAAATGCGTTTCGAAACAGTGGTACCGCTGGATATCCACCCCCATTTTCTCCCACCGGCAAAGCTTCTATTTCCGGCAACTCTCCGGCTACTTTTACCAGGATCAGACCGGCGGCGAGGCCATCAAGTTCTTCTCCCTCGACGGCCTGGCGTTCGGAGTCCCCAGCTTTATTCCTGTTTTCCAGGGGCAGGACAAGACTCTGTTGTGCTCTGCCAACGGGCTGCTTCTTCTCCGGTTCTCTGAGTCCTACTGTGTCTGCAATCCGGCGACCGGAGACTGGCGGAAGCTCCCGGATCCGGTGTACAACCACGGAGACAATCCCGCGGCGGTTCTGGCCTTCTCCCCTTCCCTGCAAAATATCGAGGCGTACTACCAGGTCGTCTGTGCTTTCACCCTGCTCGGCTCCCCTGTCCTCTGCTTTGAGATCTACTCCTCGGCGACAAGATCTTGGAGGGTCTCCTCCGCCCTCTGCCCGGAGGTCGGAAATTCTTGCCTTTCCGGCGGCAGCGGGTTCTACTCGAACGGATGCGTGTGGTGGGAGATGACCGTGGGGGCGGCGTCTGGGCAGTTTCTGGTGGCTTTGGACATTGAGAGCGAGCAATGCGGGGTGGTCGCCATGCCGGCCAGCGCCGGCGGCGGGACATTCACCCAGGTACAGGGAGAGGTGTGCTACGTGACGTCAGAGATGCAAGGCGAGGGCGTATTCGTGGTCGACATCTACGGCGGGCTGGACATGGGCCTGAAACGCAGCGTCTGCCTGAACCTGTTTGAGTTCTCGGCGTGCAGGGTGGTGCCGGCCGGCGGGGAGTGCTTGGTGATTCTCTGTGAGGCGGCGGGGGAAGGAATTGACGGCAAGGAGAGGACGGTGGTGCAGCGGTATGACATGACGGACCAGAGGGTCGAAACGGTGTGCTGTCTTCCGGGGGGAATGGATTTGTATTGCAGCGCCAAACTCGTGCCGTACGTTAACAGTCTCGCCATTGTTACTTGATAGAAGCTTACGCAATGTTAAAGAAGCTTCATCTTCTATTTGTTCCCAACATGCTCTGTTCTTTTTAATGCTTTGACTCTGCTGACTCTGTTATAAGTAGGAGGTAATATGTACTGAAATAATCCCCGCCATTCTTTTTAGAGAAGTGCTAAAGTCACAAACATTTTAGTCACAAAATACAAAGACTTACTATTTTAATGGTCAAATTCTTTTTTTTCGGTACCGTACTGGTCGGTTTCGGTCACCTTCCTTTTTTAATAAATTTATAAAATTGTAATTATTAAAGGAAATAATGAAATAAAATATCTAAAAATGTACTCCCTCTGTTTCTTAAAACCCTTCCTCTTTCATTTTTTTTTGTTTTTCTTAAAACACTTCCCTTTTCTATTAAAAAACCACTTACCCCTACTTTTTTCATACCCTACCTATCACATCAAACTTTTTCACTAATAACTAAACTATCACTACCCATCACATCAAGGGCAAAATTGGAAAGTCAACTATAATTTAACACTTTCTTATTTTCCCCCAAAGTCAAAAGAGGAACTCTTTTGAGAAACGAGGGAGTAGTTGTTATTAAAATGTTGAAAAATGAGTAATACACGAACAACTACATTTAATATCTTAACGGTTCAAAAAAAAACAAGGTCTTAACAGTTCAAAAAAAACAACGAGATAAAAAACTGTAAAAAAACCTTCGAAGGAGCTTATATATCGCTCACCTACAAAAAGTATTTACATTAATACTCCGTATAAAAAAGAGTTTATAACTTATCAAACCTTCGGATATAGGACTTTCATTCGACATTAATATCGTAGCTTGACTCTTGAGATCTGTATTATATTTAAATGCACTCCTAAATACCGTTTTATTGGTCCAATCTGGGATAATTTTTTACAGGAAAAAAACCCCGCCTAAGATTTTCTTGTACACGTGAGAGGAACAGGTAAACGGGCCACAAAGAGAGGAATTGATTCCATCCCTTGAAAAAACAAGAGGTGTGCAGGAAAGATTGGGGAGAGATACAAGGGCCCTTAATTAGAAAGGGCGCCTTCTTTCTAGGAGTTTACAGTTGGGGGAGAAGAGAGAGACACAGAGACTTTGCATGCCCCAAAGGTTCCTATTTCTTGTCACACAGGGAAAAAAACACATCCTTGCAAGATGGCACATATGTAACACCATTATTGTAATTAATAACACCTTTTTTTATTACATGAACACATTCCATTTTGCCTGTTTCTTCTTCCTTGAATGAAACATCATCATCATTATTATTATTATATTGTTTTCTTAAAATATCTTCCCTTTTTTGTTTGATTTGGCCATTGGAAAGAATTAAAATCGTTATATTGCATTGTTGCATGAGACTTTGATTTCCAATTTATTTGTTCCCTTTAGGAAAGGTGAAATTGGGTGGCAAAACCGGCCGTAGCAGCTCAAGATTTGCGGCCGGAAGGTTTATTTGAGTTCGCGAATGGACGACGGAAACGCCGCCACTCCCCCCTCGTCGCAGACGGAGACGCCTCCACCTCCGCCCGAGACTCCACCGCCCAAAGACGATTCATCCCCGCCTTCTTCTCCCCCGCCTCCATCATCGTGGACTCCTCCCCCGTGGTCGTCGTCCTCTCCCCCTCCGCCCACGCCTCCGGCGTCGTCTTCGCCCCCACCGCCGTCTTCCCCTCCTCCGACACCGCCATCGACTCCTCCGCCTTCCGTGCAGCCTCCCCCTTCGCCACCGGCACAGACGCCGCCTTCGCCTGATGGGGAAAATTCTCCTCCTCCGGATGTCACGCCCTCTCCGCCGCCGCCGTCCACCACTCCCCCGCCGGCACCAACAACCCCGGCAGCTCCCTTAACTCCTCCCAATGGAACGGGAAATCCCCCTCCCTCGATCATATTCTCTCCTCCTCCGCCGTTTTTGTCGCCCCCTACGCCGTCAAACAACCCACCGGGGCGATCAAGAAACTCTCCGCCGTCAAATGATTCTTCATCATCATCCAATGCGGCGATCGTAGCCGGGGCCGCAGCGGGTGCCGGAGTATTCATTCTAGCATTGGCCATCATTCTTTTCGTGTGTACGAGGAGAAAGAAGAAACAACAACACTACGTTGACTATATGCATCCCACACGTCCTTATAGAGGTACTCTTTTAATAAAGTTTTTATTTGAATTATCCTAGGCTGGACAGATATTTTGTGTCGGTGTGTATTGGCTTGAAATACATATGGGATATCACATGTTAGTGTACCCCTAGCATTGCCCTTTTTATTTTGTTAGTATAGGACTAATCTTATTTAGAGAAAAGTCTTATAATTTGATCTCAGTATTATACATTCACATTTTCCCTCTCTAATTTTATGATATAAACACTTTTAGGCGGGGAGCACGTGGTTAGGGTTCCTCCACCACCGGGGGGAATGGGACCCGGTTGGGGCCCGGTGAGCACGAGCGGCGAGTACACGGCGGGGTTCTCGGGACAACATCACAACACTCCAGTGCCACCTCATTCGCCAAACATGGGGGGCATGGGAGGGTACAACCAGAGCCAGTTCACGTACGAGGAACTGGCAGCGGCGACGTCAGGGTTTTCTCAGGCGAATCTGTTGGGACAAGGCGGTTTCGGCTACGTGCACAAGGGGGTGCTGGCCAACGGGAGAGCGGTGGCGGTGAAGAGCTTGAAGTCGGGGAGCGGGCAAGGGGAAAGGGAGTTCCAGGCTGAAGTTGAGATCATAAGTAGGGTTCATCACCGCCACCTTGTCTCCCTTGTTGGGTATTGCATTGCTGAGGGACAGAGAATGTTGGTTTATGAATATGTTCCTAATAACACCTTGGAGTTCCACCTTCATGGTATATATGCTTCCATGCATTTCAATTACACCTACATCATTGTCAGAATTTACAATCACAAGTTTGAACTTTTAATAATATTTGCAGGAAAAGGACAACCGGTGATAGACTGGCCAACTAGGCTAAAAATAGCAGTGGGATCAGCGAAAGGATTGAGTTATTTGCACGAAGATTGCCATCCTCGGATTATACACCGCGACATCAAATCCGCAAACATTTTACTTGATAATCAGTTTGAAGCGATGGTACATTCTTCGTTAACGTTTTTAAATTTTGATAATAATATGCTACTACGCTTGGTAAAATCGTGTGAGTAAGTTGATAACGGCAGAACAATGCGTAAAAACAACATGATGGTAGAATGTAGTGCAATAATACTACATCAAGAAATTCAGTATGTTTTAATATTATATAGATAAATTCTCACTATATTACAAATTTACAATAAGAACGTAACATTCAACTCTTCATTATATTCACAAAAGTGTGTTTATTTAATAAATAAATTTGCAGGTTGCCGATTTCGGGTTGGCAAAACTCTCCACAGACAATAACACTCATGTTTCAACTCGTGTCATGGGAACATTTGGGTATGCTCCTACAAAAGGTATTCATAATTTGAACCTCTAAGAGTCTAATAAGTTTAATTAATTTCACTATTATTAGGTATTTGGCTCCGGAGTATGCATCAAGTGGGAAGCTAACGGAGAAGTCCGACGTGTTCTCATTTGGCGTCATGCTCTTGGAACTAATCACCGGCCGTCGACCCCTCGATCTTACCAACAACCTCATGGAAGACAGCTTAGTTGATTGGGTAAGTAATTAATTAAGTTCCCTCGTCTCACAAAACATTTCCTGTTATATTTTACATCGTTTGTGTCCGAAGTTTGAATTGTCTGTGCGTGCAGGCGAGGCCACTCATAGCGAAAGCAGTTGAGGATGGCAACTATGATGAGTTGGCCGATCCGCGGCTGGAGGGAAACTATAACTCTCACGAGATGGGTCGGATGGTCGCCTGCGCAGGCGCTTGCATTCGACATTCCGCCAAAAGGCGTCCTAAGATGAGTCAGGTATAAATTTGGATCATACCACGCCTCCACGTGAGAGGTCGTGTTAGAATATCAAAACCTTTCATGGACCACAACCACAAGTTTTAACTTTTTGGTTGCACGGGAAATTTTAACTTTTTTAAAACTGGGTGGCGCTGAGTTTTAAACCCGTGACCTCTTAGTCAACAATGTTCTGATATCATGTCAAGAAACCAATTCAACCAAAAGATCAAGCTTTTGGTTGTAGCCCAAGAAATGTTTCTTAAATTCTAACATATGTATTGTATGAATGTAGATTGTGCGGGCTTGGGAAGGGGATTTTTCGCTAGACGACTTGAACGATGGTGGGGCCGGGAGGGGGACGACGGCGACGAGGTCGAGCGAGACGGGGTTGTACGACACGCGGGCATACAATGCGGACATGCTGAAGTTTAAGGAGATGGTGATGTCGAACCAGGAGAGCAGCGAGTACGGCGGCGGCCATGCGTCCAACTCCACCACCAGTTTCGACGATTCCGGGGAACACTCCTCCGCTCCCCAACACAACAACTTCTAACTAGTGCTAGTATTTCATACAAGTACGAACAGATATATTACTACGATACAACGTGTATGGAGATCATTCAATTCGATCAATTCTGATCTATTCATATATTCGAATATTCATTCCATCTGCATGTGTATATATGCATGTATGTATATATATATATTCATTGACATGACAAATACTGCGTAGTATGTGTGTATCGGACTCATGACCATTGTTATATACTCACTCCGATCCTGTCCTTAAAGAATTTACTGTTTGAAGAAGAGCAGTCTTAAAAATATGTAATTTTGGTGTTACTTTTAATCTGTGCGAAGCGCATGCTTCGTGAAGTTTGTTATTATAAAAGTCTAAAATATGAGTCATAAATATTTTTAATGGGAGATTCCATGTGTTGCCCCGAAACCGTGGTTCAAAGAGGCAAATGCAAAATTTCTGATAGATAAAGATCAAGATGTAACGAACGTGTGACCAGCACCATAAAATAATGAAATGACCCACGTGCTTGGGCAATTGGTCCACTAATATCTCCTTGAATGATTTATAAAAGTACAAGTGATTCAATTCTAATTTTATTTAAAGATGCGATACCTTCCTAGTTAGATAATCGTAAAAACTATGAATAGAAGTAACAAACATTTTCAGACCAAAATAGGAGTTCACAGTCATTGTTACACTTACACCCTCATCATATTGAAATTGTCACACTATATATCTTCGCCGCTGGCCACCGGAGTGTCGCCGCGGATCACCGACGATTGATTGATCACACTGACATAATACAATGTTATCAATTTTTCATCACACATTCAACGTCTACTCTTACACCACACTGTCACTATACTCCTTTTTTTGGCAAAAGACTTAGAATTACTATTTTGATATTTTTCATATTTTTTATTTATATATCTAGGAGCGTGCAACACATGGAAAATGAATTAATCTCAGAATCCTTATATGTCATGTCATCTGGTTAAAACATTTGTTTTTGTGGGTCTTTATCTTTGAGAACTTCAAATTCAAAGAACTTTATTGAAATAGTTTTTGGAATAATTTAGAATTAAGGACTATGAAATATATGTAAAGAAACAAACTCAATTATAAGCTCAAGCCCATAATTGTTAGTCTAATGTTTTTAATTCTAGGACGCTTCCTCACGTGCAGGCGCGCGTTACAGCTTCGAGTCTTGCATGTGAAATCTTTTTTTAACTCGTGGTAGTGCATTCATAACTTCATACTTGTTATCTCTTAATCAACAAAGTTCCGATACAATGTCAAGAATTGTAGGATTTGTAGGCCCAGGATATAGATTTGTTTTAATAACCTAACTTGTTTGGCCAGTTTTGAAGAAATGATATGATATAAATTTTTAAATTGAGAAGAAATAATATGATAGTTCTGAAATATGGAATGAAGTTTTTTAACGAGATTTAAAATCATGGCTTAATTAGTGATTGGCAGGTGGCCGACAACGGAGGTGGTTGGCGGTGGTAGTAGTAGCCGGTGGCGCGGGAGATAGTTGACGGCTGGGAGAGTAATCAATCCTCACATTGATATCTTTCAAATTCAAGAGATATCAAAATCCTTCATTTGAAAAAGTTGTAATATCTAGGGATTTCGAATTCAAATTTTTTTTTATTTCTTAACAAATAAAAAATCTGATATTAAGAGTATGGAAGGAGACCTAAGGGCTCGTTTGGTGAGTTTTGGAGATATGATAAGATTTGTGTTATGAAATTAGAGAGAAATGATATGTGATTTTAAATTTGAAACGAATTTATTTGGAGACATTTAAAATTATGGTTTAAATACTGATAAAAGAGGGTGACCGGCAACAGAGGTGGTTGGGCGTGGCAATGGTAGCGTGGCAATTTGATATCTCTCAAATTCGGGTGATATCAAAACCCTCCATTTGAAGAAAGATTTAAGATATTTAGAGATATCAAATTCAATATCTTTTTTTGCTTCACCAAAAATCCAAAAAGAATTTTGATATCTTACTATATCAAAATCATATCTTGTTTATCACCAAATACACCTTAAGAGTATATTTGAGAACTATGGTGTATTTTATAGGCAAATTGTATTATACATTCGGTTGTACCCAATTTTGGATATAACCAAGAAATTATTTATGGTATACATTTTATTTTACATGAGAATGAACACTAAGTGTCCGTTTGATATACAGAATTGATAGAATTGGAATTGAATTGGAATTAAAATTCCATGAGATTCAATTTTATAGAATTGAATTCACCAATTCCAATTCATTTTTTGCACTACCAATTCGAAATCCACACAATTTTTGTGATACCAAACACGAGAATTAGAATTAAAGTCCTCAATTCCAATTACATAGTTTGAATTCCGTGTACCAAACAGGGCCTAAGTTATTTGAGAATTTGTACTGTTTTGTTTCAGAATGAACACTACATTATTTGTAGATGAATATTATAATTATATTGAACTAATGTGCGAAAATGAGTATTGCATTTTTTGAGAATGAGTATCACTCTTATTAAATTTCTGCAAGAATGAGTTCTACTCTACTTCAGAATGATTACTACCAGAATGTACCGTACATTCGATTGTACCATATACCTTCTCTATTTTACACGGAGTAACCAGCATTGGATTGGAAATTGGAATGGATTGGTGATGCTCATGACAAACAATGACTCATTAGTCCCTCTGATTTCTAAAACTACATAAAATGCCCTAAATAAAGTAGTAGCTGGTCGATGAGCAGAAATTTGTGGTTTTCTGTTCGATCCGATCGTTAGGACGGACACAGAACGGAACAAAATCTCCGGCGGAAGGGAGGATCATGATAACTCAGTCCAAACTCGTCGAGCAACTCAGAGATTACCAGATCAGATCACAGCACAAGTGCCCTGCTCTCACCATCTTCTCCCCCAAATCATTCCTCACCACCTGGTATTCTTCTCTCAATTATTGAATCCGCACTTTTTTTCTCTCCAGATTTTGCATAAATTTTATCTGGATATCTATCTTCGAGGTGTGGCATAATTATCTGTTTTGCTAAAACGCGGAAGAGTTATTGCGTATCTGATGGTTTTGCTGGAGAAGTTTCTCATTTATATTGTTGCTGGTTAGTCTAGGATTGATGTGTTTTTTCATAAGTGAAACTAGTATTTTGGCGAATGTCACGTCAAATCTTTCATTTTGATTGCAATGGAAGCTGGAATTTCAGAAAATGACAATTGAATTGAATTCTAAACTGGGTTAAGATGTGAAGAACGTGAAATTAGAATTGACCGTGAGTATTGCCTTCATTTGTTGGGATAATGATTTTGTAAAACGCGTGAAAATTTGTAAAATCGGGTAGTATTTTAATTGTTCCAGGTTTGTCCTAGCCTTTGTGTATTCTGATTCAAAACTCAACCAAAATAACTAATTTATCCCACTCAAAAGTAAGGTTTTGGGAAGGGGGCAAGATGTATCCAGACCTTATAGTACCTTACATCTACTTCAAGAAGTATAGAGATTATTTCGGAGAAAATCTCGACAAACAATAACCATTAGTGTGAGGACCCACACATCTAAACAACACTCACACACAACCCCTGCAAGGACTCTGCTGTGCCAACACGCTGCCTTCTAGATCTTTTATGAGAGGTCATGCCCTCAGAGAGTATAATGACTGCAAAATCCATCCTCTAGTGCACTTTTCATAATGTTTAGCTTGCCCAAATGTGTATAGTTCATTACCTACGTAAATGTTTTTGTTGGGGAGTTGGTGCATTGTTTTGCCTGCATTCTTATTCCTCTCTATATGCTAGCATGTGAAATGTTTTCATTTCTCAGTTAATAGTTTTGCTCATAGTCCCAAGCTAGTATGTGCTTTTAGGGTTTTTTTTTTGCTGATTCATGTGCCTTTTTTCATCCGATTAATGCCAATTATTGTTATAATTTCTTTAGGGCTGATGTTGCGGTTGCCATTGTCTGGGCCATTCTGTTTTGCGCGTTAGTAGTATCATCATACTTGGCCCTTCGTTCAGAGCATTACTGGATTTCTCTTTTCATTTTATGTCTCAGTGTCTCCCTTACCGTGCGTCTGAGAATCTTGAGACAGGCAAATGCAAGGAAGAGAGTTAGGCTCTTACCTTTGTCAATGTGAACCTTCTAATTCACCATTGTTTTCCTATAGTGCTCAGCTGGACATTTCAAAACATGGGAACACAAAGGGGATTGCTTACCAGGTAGGCTCCGTTAGTGTAGATTTTTTTTGTTACTGCTTTGTATGTTTTGTTTTTCTGGGAAAGAATGCATTTTGATGTCTTGTGAAATTGAAGAGTATACGACATTGCTCTCCACATTAGTGCTGTATTTAGGTGAGATATATGTTACAAGTATAATTTGATTTTTTAACGTATGGAAAAAGGAGCTCTCTGTTATATCTTTTCCTGACAAGCTGTGGAGTGAAAGCTTTATTATGTATGCACATCGTCTATTTGAAGAATGGTAAACTAGGGTCGTCTAGGGACTACCCAGTTCTCTTCACTCACTAGAGGTTGCCGGAGTTGCATTTCTCACTAGAGATTTACTGATGTGACTAGTCACACCTTAATCTTTTTGTTTTGAACCAAAGCATGTATTTGTCATTAGTCATAGTTTCTAACAAGAAATACACTCTGTAGAACACAGAAAGAAAAAAAAAATACCTTCTTAGCCAGAGTAGAACTTAATAGCAGCAGAAGATAATAACACAATAAGCTGAGCTAGCTAACAAGGGTGTCCCAATTTGAGATCTTCTTGCTAATAACAGAAGGCCAAAAGGCCAACTTTCTTAATAACTTGCTGAGGGAGGGTAATAACAAAAGGCCAAAAGGAATACATGCCCAACAAAACAGAGTTCATAAGGATGATTCTGGTTGCATAAGAAAGATTTCTGCTTTTCCAGTACTGAATTGTATTGGTTATTGTATCAACCAGGACATGGGGTTATGACTGTAATGCCCTTAAATAAGTATTTTAGTGACAACATCCCCTTCTTCAAAGCCAGTGATTCTCATTGATACCACCAAAGTAGGCATGAGGCCTTTTCTGGTTTGTCTGTAGTAGCCCTATGCACTTGGACAACTCCTTTAGAGACCCCATTAAAAAGAGCTAAAAGAAATTTTATTTTCTAAAATAAAATAGAAGAAATGTAAATCTCATTTTGGGAGGAAGAGAGTATTAAAGCGTGGTACTGACTAAGGGCTTGTTCTCTTCAGCTGATCTAATTGGTTTTTATCTGATTGGAAGAAGTTATGATGTGGTCTTAACTGATTTGATTATAGTTGTATTTAAAGTTGTTTCTAATTTAATAGATCTAATTTTAAAAACAATAAGTAATAAGTAATATTACCTCTATCCCGTAGTATTTGTCCAGTTTTGACTTTTTTCAGACAATTGTTTTCAACCTTTGACTTGTAATTAAATAAAATATATATTGTATGTTAGTTAAATAAAATAATATTTTGAACATATTTTATATAATAAATCTAATAAAACTATTTTTGTATAAATATCTAATACTCTAGTATCATTTTTTATTTAATTTGAGGTCAATATTTATTAAATATTTTTTTTAAAAAAAGTCAAAAGTGAACAAATAAATCGGAATGTTGGGAATAAGTAATAAGAATAATTTGAAGAGAACAAGCTCGAAAGCCAAGCATGTGCTTTCTAAATTAAAGCCCAAACATGTTCCCGGGTTTAGAATAAGTTAAGACATCCCATCTTACAGGATCGAGCCCATGTGCAGGAGGGCGGAGCCGCCTGTTGGCCATCTCTAGTTAATGGGGTAAAGACGAATAGTATTTCTTTGGTGTACTTTGGGTGCATATCAATTTTGTAGACTTTCTCACATTAAAAAAATTTAAATTTTTTATTTAAAAAAGAAATACTTATTTAAGTAGTAAATAAACATTTATTTTGTTCATATGTAAGTTCATAGTGGATCTTAGATTCACCATAGACTTTGCCTAATACTATACCTTTGTGCTCTATGTGTGAACTACTTTTTATTGGAGCATTTATAAACTCTTCAATCTACATCCCATAAATTCAATGAATTGAGGACATGTGGTACAACCAATGGAAATGTTTAAATATAACTATATTTAACTTATTAAACATATTTGGCATACTTTCTTTTGTTCAAAGACATTTGATAAGATGAAATTTACATTTTTTTTCTAATTTGACTCTTGAGGATATAAATATTAAATACTACTCCTTATCAAATTAGGAAAAGGATACATTTGCAGGGTCCAAAATGCACACAATCAATGTCACCACTATGTCATACACATGAGGAGTCTCACCATTAAATTATTAGGGAGTACTTCCAATTATTTCTGGTCAAAGAATTAATTTAATCAATACATGTGGTTGTAGCTACTAATGATGTCTTAGTCAATAAGACTTTGAAACAATAAAAAATAAATTTATTATTGTGAATGTACTTAGAAAAACAAAACCTTCTAAGTTACTTATGTCTCCCATGAAGAGGATCAAGCTATTAGTTATACGTAGTACAAAACATGATTGTAGATTAAACCACATAAACTAACTTTCAAGAAGCATGATCAACGAGAACAACATTTATTCTATATTATAAACAACATTTACTAAATAAATTTTTTGATATACCAAGGAATACGTCCAAATTATTCGATTGCTTTTCGGTATACTAATTTGCGAGAATATTTGTTTGGGAATAAATCTATACATGCAAATATTAATTCTATAGAGATTAAACTTCGTGACAAGTTAGAGAAATTGTTTCCAATTTCTTACTTTTCTTGCGTTCAAAGATAGAGAAATTTTCTCCAATTTCTTTTAGGGAAAAAGACCAAAGTAGGACTAAAACATTGAAGATATACCAAAATAGGACTTCCATGTTTTTATTCCCGAAATAGGACTTACATTACCAAACATGGTCATATACATTACCAAGAAAGTATAGTAATTTGCACATGTACACTACCACATTACCACAATGCAAAGTCCTATTTCAAGAAAAAAACATGAAAGTCCTATTTTGGTACTTTTCTTTATGTTTTAGTCTTATTTAGGATGATTTCTATTTCTTTTATTTATTGCATTCAACATATATCTCTTAAGTACCGGAGTATATGGCTATTTAGAATAGAAATCATCCTAAATAGGACTAAAACATAAAGAAAAGTACTAAAATAGGACTTTCATGTTTTTTTTCCTCGAAATAGGACTTTGCACTGTGGGAATGTGACTTTGCATTGTGGTAATGTGGCAGTTTACATGTGCACATTATTATACTTTTTTGGTAATGTATATGACCATGTTTGGTAATGTAAGTCTAATTTCGAAAATAAAAATATGGCAGTCCTATTTTGGTATATTTTCAATGTTTTAGTCCTACTTTGATCTTTCTCCCTATTTAGAATTAAACTATTTGTACATCGTAAATTGTAACTTACTTTGTACTCCGAAGGTAAATATCAACATTTTGTGCTAGTTTAATGTTAGTGTGATGGTTTACACTGACATAAAATATCAGTATAACTTTTTTTGTTTGAACTAACATTTTATACAAGTGTTAACCATTAAAATATATGTACATTCATTTGGTGTACAATTTGGAGTACACTTTTGGTATAATGGTAGCATCATTGTGTTATTTATAGCCAAGAGATGACTCTTCATTTTCGATGAGTCATTATGAACCTACATTAAATTTAAATAGCTCCAATTATTTGAATGAATCATTGTGACTCTATTTGAAACGAGTATTTATCAACACTCAACCATACGTATTTAGGCCATCTCCAATAAGATACACTAAATTTAAACTCAAAATGCAATAAATATCAAATCAAACGATAATTATTTCTGATTCATTACACTAAGCTCAAATTCAAAAAATTATTCTCACCATATGTTAATTTTCTCTACACTTTTTATATTTTTCAAATATTATTAATTTATTTATCAATTTCGAATTTCATGATTTATTTTTAGTATTAATCCGTACAATAATATTTTTTATTTTTAGTGAAATTTCAATATTTTATTAAATTGAGTAATTTCATTCTTTAGGCTTATTGTTAAAGTTATCTTTTATTATTACTTCGTATATCAATATAAAGCAAACATCTAAAATGAAATAAAATAAGTAGTATAAATTCAAAAGAAAATAAAATGCAGCTTTTATTTCTCAACAAATGAAACCGAATTATTTAAAAGGAATGATTAAATGAAAGAGGAATGGCAACTGAAAGCAACCGCTTAAAAAAATGCAGTACAACAACTCAAATTCGAGTTTGTGAGCAAGATTTGATATGAAAATTTGAGTTGGTTTTGCTTGGCACCCACATAAATATTTTTCTTTAATACTCCCTCCGTCCCAAAAAGATTTACATGTTTTGACTAAAGTTGAAATTAAGGGAAGGATAATTTTGTGTTGACTTTCCAAAAATACCCTTGATGTGATGGGGTAAAAATAGGATGTGATGTGTAGATTATTAGGAAAAAGGTATGATGTGATAAGTAGAGTTTGAAAAAGTAAGGGATAAAAGTGGTTTTTTAATAGAAATAGGTAGGAGATTGTGGGACGCAATTTTTTTGAAAGATATAAATCTTTTTGGGACGGAGGAGTATTATTGTAATCACAAATTCAAAACACCTATTATAATAATATTTGTTCCGTCCCCATTTAGATTAAAATATTCCCTTTTTGTGTAGTTTTATATTAAGTCACATCAAAAGAATCTTTCTCATATTACCCCTAATAGGCCTAATGATAATATGTAGTACGTAGTGTGTGTGTATATATTTACGGTAGATGATCAAAATGTGGGTGGGGATATTAAAAGGGGATATTTCGTTCAAAAAGTGTGTGAATTATATTATTATAATCTATTTAGGGACAAGAAAAGAAAAGGAAATATTATAATGAAAATTGGGACGGAGAGAGTATTACTAAGGTCTATGTCAACACTTGACCAATATTTTATCAAAAAATATCCAAAACCATCTTCTTCCTCAAGCTTGAAGCTCATTAATGGCTATCGCATCGAGCTCTTATATAGTCGTGTGCATGTCCAATCTCCCAAAATATATATGGACTAATAAAACATCTTTATATGCATGATATCTTCGAAAAAGACATGTGATTTTTACCGATTTGATTTCTTGTAAAAATAAATACCTGTGTCAATACATTGATCTTTCTAATTTTACACATCATTTCTATAATCCTACTTGTATACAAATTGTTATCAAATACTCATCATAATATCCCATGAGCTCTTTGATGAGATAAAAATGTAAAGAGAAACATGAATCCTTTGGTTCGGAATAAATTAACGTTGTGTTTGGATGGAGGGAGGTGAAGGTAGGATAAGGTAGCAATTAAAATCTACCTTCTTTGGG